GACCCCTTGAATTTGCCTTTGTGTGTTTGCAAGAAAGTGTCAGACTTTCCTTAGCATGCTGCACACAGTTCTACGGTGATACATATAATCAAGGAATGTGTATCTAATAGAACAGTGGTTCTCAAACCTCCTAATGCTGTGACCCTTTAATATAGCACCTCATGGTGTGGTAACCCCAACAACAAAGTTATTTTTGTGGCTTTTTCATAACTGTAATTTTTCTACTGTTATGGACTGTACTATAAGTGTCTGATACCTGATAGGATATCTGATAGGTAACTGCTGTGAAAGTCATTGGACCTTAAAAAGGGTCATGGCACACAGGTGAGAATATCTGTACTCTGAAATAAGTTGGCAGAGGTTGGATGGAGGAAGACATCTCAATCCAATCATATTTCACCAGGAACCTGGTCCCCTCTGTGTCATCCTTCATGAGAAGTTGTCCACAGTGGTTACTATGAGGAAGACAAGGCAGTAGACTTTGGGAACCAGAGCATAACCCTAACTAAGAAAGACTTAGCTGACTTTAAAATCAAAGTTCTTTGGTCCTTTTGGGTTGTATGCTCTTGGCAGAAAGTTTACTTTTAAAGGCTGAAGATGTTGTCACACAAACAACTAAGTCGTACAAATGAGTTTGGTCATCACTGCAAATAAACGATGACTCGCAACTTCTGTCTTTTAGTACTTTAAAGAAATGCATCCACCAGTCCCCTGTTATTCAGGGGGTGTAAGCATGGAACCATTTCTGTTTGGGACAAGGGACGTTTTTCCTCTAAGCCTGTGATCCTTCTCTCTTGCTGTCATCCTTAGCTGATTTTGGAGTGCCAGCATCTGCCATCCTTGTCAGAGTGGGAATGAGATGCTTGGAAGCAGGTTAGAGGGAGCACTTTTCTGGTCCCAGCACATGCTCTGAAGCTTACAGTTTCCTCTGTTTTTGCTCTTTCGACTCAAGTTGTCCATGCCTCTTTGTGTGGTTAATTACGCTCAATTAAGCTGCTTTGTTTTTTTTCTTTCTCTACCAGATTCTTGGAATTGTCCCAAGTGTGAGGGGGAACAATTGATTAGTCCTATTTCTGCCACTGCCCCTGAGCTCTGCACTTGAGTACAGTGAGGTCACTTTGTTGAAGAATTAACTTTATATTACATTCTTGCAGGGTGGATACGTGTCCCTAAGGTACCACTACCCCTGCTGATGAAATAAATATGCCTTCTTTATGATTCTCCCCCATTACCCTCTCTGTTGATTTTCTGAGAGTTTATGTATAGTCACATATTTATACAACTGGGCAAAAGTGTACTACTTATTTTTCTTATGGTCTGTAATAACCCATGCAAGGTTATTAAAGGTACACAGATCCCTTTTAAGGCATAGTTTCTTATGTCATTACTTTATATGAGCAGGTCAGATTCCATCTCAGCAACAATCTTCTTGCTCTTAACCTTTTTCTCTGATTATAAAAATAATATATGCTTATTGTGCAGGGGGCAAAAATGAAAACAGAAAATGTGCAGGTCAAGGATGAGGGAAAAAAGCTTCTCAGGAACCATGAACTTTAGAAACAACTGATATTTGTAGTCTCTATACAGACAGTGTTGTTTATTATGCACATAGATAGATAGGTAGATTCATTCATTCATTCATTCATTCATTCAAAAGTCACCACATCAGGGGCTGGAGACATTACCTAGTGTCTAAGAGCACTTGATGCTCTTGCAGAGGATCCAGATTTGGTTCCCAGCATGCTCATGGTGGCTCACAACCACTTGTAAGTCAAATACCAGTAGATCCAGTGCCCCTTTTAGACTCCTTGGGTGCCAGACACATATGCCTACATGCAGTATTCACATATACACATTTTAAAAATGTGAATCTTGAAAAGTCGCCATATTAGATATATATCCCTGTAGTCTTTTTAACCTAACACTAGAAATGTCCCTGAATTGGTGTTTGTCCTATGACATTGATTCCGAGACTGGGAAATGTTTAGTTCTGTAGGATACTCTGTACTTTTTGCTTTGCAGTGCATTGAACTGAATTCCATTTCCTCTTCCCAAATATTTAATCTCTTTTCTGTGGAGAGAATTGTGTATGCTTAAAAACTGACAAAACTATTGATCCTTATTAACAAATCTCTCTCACACATGAGTTTTTCCCCTACTCAGAGCACACAGAGAAGTCAGCAGGCTCCTTTGAGTTTGGAATAGGCTTGCATGGCTTTATTGTTAACATGGTCCACAGTGTCGGACCATTCCATTGTAATATTCAATACTGAAATATGGAGTGTAGGTCAGCATACGTGAAAATGTGAGTGGGGAGCCAATCCTAAAGACATAGGAAATACATAGGAAACCTTCACTGTGCCTCACTATTTAAAATACCTCCTCTATCATGGATTATGTCCTTAGCATAGATGCTTATTTTTGTTTGAGTAATAAGTTTAATATGTCTAATCCAATTACTCTTCATGGCAACAGAATGACTTCTCAGCTCTTTTGCTATTAGTTCCATATGATATTGAATTGATTCTTTTAATTGCTGATATTAAGTGTCAGTCATTCTACCGTGAGTTGGCCTTATAGCCAGAAAAATCACATCCTCCGCCAACCCCACTATAAAAGCTTTTCAATGAACAGTATGGATTTCTTGACACACTAGGAATTCATTATGCAGATAAGGAAATGGGTGGATCCACACCTCTCCTGTTATTGGTGGCTTAGATTGAAAAGGTAAAGATTGTAGGATTAGGAATTATGTTTCCAGGGACTGAAGTGATACTCTTGATTGTCTAAAGCTAGTGTTTATGGTCAAACATTTTGTTGACAATTAGAATTATGAATGAGGGTTGAATGGTTTCTAACGTACCCTTCCCCCCACCCACTGTGCTCACTCCTGTTACTCTGATGCATATCTTGATTAAATAACTTTTATAACTAACACCTTCTCTGCATAAAGATCTCCATAACTTTTTCTCTCCAAGTCACTCTGAAGAAAGAATTCTTCTCAAAGCCTTATTAGAAAGCATTCATAAAATGAAATACCTGTATTTTGAAAAGTCATCAGACCTGTATTTTGAAAAGTGGGCCAGTTTGGCTTGGTATACAACTTGCTTCCATTAGCCTTGGAACCTATTTGAATTTAATATAGTTTTTTTTTAAGTTAGTAGGAACCTTATTTTTAAAATTTAGGTTAATGGAAGTGTTTTTTAAGTAAAGAACTCGGCAACATTTTTTTTAATGTACGGATAAAATGTTAGGGCTGCAGAGACTGCCTAGTATATGTGCCTCAACTCATATACTAGAACAGAGAGATTCACTACACCTAGCATAATTTTCACTAATATTCACAAGAGACAGATTGAAAGTTTACTGTTTGCAGGGGTGGGAGGAGGGGCAGTTACCCAAACCTCATGTTTGCAAAAATGATTATATCATCCAAAATGAAACCACAGCTCTACTAATGACCTCAGTAGTTGGGGAGGGGGCAGTCTTTTAAATAAAGTTCCTTGAAGTTCATTCTGCCTTAAAACATACAAGTGAAGTAAAAGTACTTCCCCTGATTTATGTGTCTTTGGGAGAAATAGTTACTGGCTTTTTACTAACCTATGTAAAACAATGTGCTTTTGTAAATGGGTTTCTGGCCACTTTATTCAGCTGTCCCCCCTCCCCTTCTTACATAAAAAAGTAAGCACTGTCAATCAAGGAATTTTAAGGTTTATTTCCTCTTTAGCGATGATTGATAGCCTTTTAGATTTACAAGTTGACAAGTTAAAGGGTTCTATTGGTATAATTATGCTCTAAATTCACAGTCTTTCAATTTAAATGTCCTTTTAAAACCAAGAGATTATCATACCTGTATTTTGAAAAGTGGGCCAGTCAGTTTGGGTTGGTATACAAATTGCTTCCATTAGCCTTGGGACCTATTTGAATTTAATACAGTTTTTTAAAGTTAGTAGGAATCTTACTTTTAAAATTTAGGTTAATGGAAATGCATTTTAAGTAAAGAATGTGGCAACTTGTTTTTTTTTTTTAATGTATAGATAAAATGTTAGGGCTGCAGAGACTGTCTTTTTATTCAGCAAGGAAGAAAATATGCAGTAAATGCCTGAGTTAAACTAGAAAAGAAAAGCAATTGCACAGTAAAATAAAACTCCTACTGCCTACCTATGGCTCCGGGTACTGGGACTATGGCTAGAGGAGGGTCTCGCCATCTTTCTTTCCTTCTTGGACTATATAAGCTCAGAATGGTTTGTGTGCTAGGAAGGAATTCTGAAAGTGATAGCGTAGACTCTGGTTTCTATTTGGTCTAGCGTAAGGGAGTGTGTCCAATAGGACACAATGAGGCCCATTGTCTCCAAATGTTATTATTTTAGTTGGGTCTCTGAGTCTTTTAGTAAATCATGCCTAGAGACTCAGCTGGGCTACGCTAATACTCCACAGAAGCTGAGCTTTTTCAAATAATATCATTGCTGTGAGTAGGTCATCAATTAAGATGGGAAGGTTTTGAGTCATGGGCATGTTCGATGCTTGTCTCTGCAGATGTTCTCTAGGGTTTAGGAGACAGGCCTCTTACTCCACTCTGCCCACCACTATCTTCAGAAGATGCTGAGATTATTTCCACTGAGCTCTACAGGACACTTTATACATATCTGTGTGGTCCACTGTTACTTCAAATATATAGACAAGATCTTGACTTTTCCCCCAGCTTTCTGCAATGGGGCAAATCCTAAAACTTTATGACAAATTTCATTTTAGTTTTTACTTAGGATCATATTAAAGATGTAGAATTTAGCTCTAGGGGCTGTGTTCTGAAACTCCTTTCTCTCTGTCTACCAATGTTTCTTCACGAGGATCAGTTCCCTCCGTAGTAAATAAAATAGTGGAAATGCCACGAGAGACTAAAGAGTATCTCTTAGATGTTAAGGGTTGCATCTGCACCATTTGTTCTGCAAATCATATGCCATTTCCCAAAATGTTTAAACCTTGTGACTTTTTCCTTACAGCACTCAATGAACCCACCATCGACTATGGTTTCCAGAGGTTACAGAAGGTCATTCCCCGGCATCCTGGTGACCCAGAGCGCTTGCCAAAGGTCAGAATTTCCCTTCTTTGGGACATGGTTTCTAGAAAGTTGGATTTGAGAATGGCAAAATACCCTCTTGGATAAGACAAAAAAAAATAGTTCATAGATAACCAACTCATCTTGACACATTGTGTGTCATGATAAAAGTAGCAAGCGCTTTGGGATAGGCGCTGGTGTCTGTATTTTCATATATATCATGTCACCTTAATTTCAGTAACTCTGTACATTGGTACTATTTCCACTACTGTAAGAATTGCTGTTTGTACTGATAGAAAGTTCTGAAATACATTTCTTCTAGGGAAGGGATAATATGGTCATGTTTACATCACTGTCTTTAAATGGCCTCTGCCTTGTTCCCTCTGTCCTGTCTTATTGTTTCACTGTGAAAAGCCTATGAGTAACACTGGACAGCTACATCTTTCTAGGGCATAGGTGTCCTGTGAAAGAATGAACTGTAGATCCCTCTGTCCAGCAGGAAGATAGCTTCTGTGCATTTCCCATGCAGCACTCTGATAACTTACAAACGATGATAGATGATATGTGTCTACATAGAGAGATGACCATAGTCTTTGTACGGTAGAACTGAGACACGGGCACAATGACAACTTTTTCTGCCATTCCTATTTAGGTAGTGACTTCACTTTCATCTAGATTTTAAGTTAGCGTTTCATCCCTAGGCTCTCCAGAATTGAGAGCATAGCCTGGAAGTTCAGATTGGACCAATTAAAACCTAGCCCTCAGTCACTGGTTAGCCATGTGGCCTGTGTTGAAAGCCTTCCTTCCCTGTACTTGCCTCAGTGTCCCCATCTGTCAAGTGGGAGCAGTGATACTTCCTGCTTTCTCCTGTCCCTTAGCACATGACAGAGGGTAACCCTGGTTGTGTGTCAGTTGAATAAAAATGGTAGCAGGAAATCTCCATCCCCTGAGCAATTAAATATATGCTCTGTCCTCTGTGCCTCAGTTTCTTCATCTATAAAATGGGGATAGTAGAATTACATAAGACTGGAAATAGGAGCCAAGTCTAGTTAAATGGTTGAGATCTAAAGAAGCCAGGCAGTATTTTTGCTTTGTTTTGCTTTTCATAAGGATAGGACAGAAATCAGAGTATATGGTAGAGTTTTGTGTACTTAAAGGCATTTTAACGTTGCACATTGGATTTTTAGAATGTTGGGTAACTAGCTCAGGCACATGCCACTTTGTCCCCAGGGGCCTTTGGGTGAACCACTGAGCCTTTTCTTCCTGGATTTGGGAGGGGCAATCAGGGACACAATGGCTCTGTGTGTGTTAAGGAAACACTGCAGCTTGCTTCCAACTACTGCAACGGTGGAAGGACTGTGGCCAGAGAAGCCCACCCCAGGAAGCACTCCCTGTGACTCAGGGCAGACTGGCTGTCCTCTTGGCTCTGCGAGTTAAGGTGGAGCAAGAGTTCAAGGGCAGGGTCAGGAAGTGGCGGATGGAGCCAGCACAAGGTATTCCTGTGGACTTGAGAGAGATTTATACTCCTACTATCCATTGTTAGGGCCGTAGGAAGGGCCTCCTCTGCCTTCCTCAGACTCATGGCCAGTGTTTGTCAAACAGAGGTGTTTCAGTGAGCTGCGGACCACACACCTTAAAAAACAAACCCCACTTTATTAAACCCATGTGTTTGTGAATAGACAAAGCTAGATTCATACAACCACCCACATATTCTGTCAAATGAAACTGCTCCAAAGACCACGCAGACAGCTTTCCATAATAATATGCCTTTGTATATAGGCTTGCACTTTTTCAAACAAGGAGGACATGCTTTGTTTTACTGGATCCCCTCTTGTGAAAGAACTTGGAAAAATAGACATACTCTCTCCTCATCTTCCCCATTTACCAAACAGGGAAAGAAGAGCAAGCAGACTCTTTGTAAATCATTTCATCTCTGAAAGGCACTATAATTACACTAACCGTCCATGGTCAGAGCTTTCATTTCTTTTATTTGCACACAGAGAAGAGCAGGCTAAGGTCTTTAAAACCTAGTATTCTATCCTGTCTCCCTGTTGAATGAACCTTCTTCTCTGGGTCCATATGACTTTGGGAACTTTTCCCACAGGGGTCCAGGTTGAATTCTTACAAAGGAGAGGTGGGGAAGGGATGAGGTTATGGCCAATCAGAAGCTGAGATGCTAATTGCTTTGGTGATTCCACACAAACTTTGAGCAAGGAGCTCCCTCAGCTTCAAAAGCCAAAAGTAGTATCTCCACTTTTTTTTTTTTTAAATATTTGTAGTTTCCTACTCGTCTTCATACGCAGCCTATGAACTTCAGCCCACAGGCAGTGCAAGCAGGCCTTGAGCCTAGCCAGCATCCTGCACATTGGCTCTGACTCTTGGGAAGTCAGGACTGTGTGTTTCACGCCTATTGCAAGTCTAGCGCTGTTTGATGGCATCTGCTGCAGAGCAGAGAGGCCAAGTGAGGCAGCATGCAAGCCAGACACACAAGGAGCTTGGAAGGCAGACCCAGGACTTGGTGCATGGAAGTCTGAAGCCTCGGGTCCCTCCTCTGTGGAACAGCTGTTTCTCAGTGCTGCTAGGAACTAAGGAGATAATACATGCAAAGAGAAGTTCCAGGCAGCTGGGGAGTCTCCAGTAAGCAGGGACACTAATCTCTGCATGACATACATCTCACATTCCACAGAAGAGACATTTAAGCTGAGCCCCGGGAGGAGGTCTGTCTGCTGACTTGCTATGACATCAGTGCATCACATCAAGTGAGAAAGCTCAAACCTGAACTTGGTTCTATGAGTTCAAAACCCTCCCCGTGTCCAGTATGTTAAAATTCCTCTCTTCCTTCAGATTTGGCTATTCAAAACCCAAGTACTTCTGCCTGAAAGCAGTTTCCTTCTGCTGCCTCTCCCTCATCAGTATCTTCTGCCCATCCCCCTCAGATTCTTGGTAGCTTCTCTTCCTTCCTCCATCGAGAGAGGCTGATACGGAAATCTGTACCAGGAAAATACCATTTGATTATGGGCTCCAGTCTCCCTTATAGAGAAAATCAAGCAGTTTGGGAAAAGCAACAAAGGCCACATTTGTGTATTTTGCTTTATGGAGCTGAAAATATCTGGTAAATTGATCCAGTGGGAGTCATAAATACACATTACTTTATCTTGTTCTTCGTGTCCTATACCCCAGAGCCTTGATAGAACAACAGCACTTAATAGACTTAAGAAAGAGTAATTACACTCATTGGTTGTGTGATTTTTCAGCCCTCCCAGCCCTGCCTGACCTTCTAATTTAGCTCACCGTGTCTAACTAATGCATTTATATTCATCTTTTATGAAGCATGGATGGTACAGGATTGACTGTACAGTCTTGCTCAAGCTGTCTGCCCAGGTTCTCCTCTGGTTGGTAGTGAAGGGAGTAGGGGCCATCCATCTCCATACATTTGCATGGATAGACAGCCATAGACATGGCTGCCGGCATTTTTCATCCCTTATGAAACATGATAAAAAGTATTTATTACATTTTTCCTTTAAAGCTTTTATACATTCCAGCGTTATTTACAGCTAAACATGCAGGCAAAAGATGTGAGTGTTTTTAAAATCATTACTGCTAATGTCTCAGCTTGTCAGGAGTGCTTAAATTCTCCTGCACTTTGTCTAAAAACTTGGTACTGTTGCCTTTTAAGAACAACACATTGAAAGGATCTTGCAAGTCAGATCTGCAAACACTGCTGACAGACTCTGATGGATGATATTGCAAAATTTGCAAGATGTTTGTCATTTCACACAGCCGACGTATTAAGGAATGGATTAAGAAACTCAAAACCCCAATGGGAAACAGTCATCCCCCCCACCCCCCGAAAACCCCAGCCAAACCTTGAACCCCCTAGAGCACAGCAGAATCTCTCACTCGGCTATCTCTCCCAACTTCCCACCCAGCTATTGGATCCCAATTGTTCACAGAGCATTTTCTCTCACCATATGGTCTCCTCATTACCATATACTAAGAGTCCATATGGGAAACTTGTGAAATGAACTGTATTCATTTTAACTGCCAGATGAGCAGCCTTGTGCTTTGCAAGCCTAGCTTAAGTCATCTGCTGTCTTCGTGTTGTTATGGCAACACGGCGCCAATAAAAAATTCTAATCTACTGTAAGTGATCACAATATTTTAAGTGCTTGCCTATAACTGGCCTCAGAAGGGACACGAGACAGGAGAGCTTCAGTTTTTCCAAAGGTTTATGAAGGTGGTGGTTGATTCCAGCAGGTGTCATCAGGAAGGGAGCTGGTGAGAGTATGGTGTGTGTCCGTAGGGCCATGGAGTATGGCTTGTCATGTGGATATAGTGTAGAGGGGTTGGATCTCAGAGCACATGGATCATAGACCCTTTGGATGAATCTAAAAAAACACACTGAGTATCAAACACTATAGTTGCTCAGATAGACACATGACTGCTGCTACTGGGGAGCGAGCCAGCCATGGGCCATGGATGCCAGTCTAAGTTTGGACTCCCTGAGGCAGCAGCAGGTCCTCACGGGAGCCTCTCCTTCATTGCCATTTGAAACTCTCAGACCCCGTGAAGCTGCTCTTCTCAAACGAATGCAGGAATCAGTCATTTCAAATACTGGGCTAATTAAGAGTACCTTAAAGTAAATGGAAGTCGTCAGCCACATCCTAAAGTGTAAGTCATTCTCACCTCCGAAGGCTTTGTGATGCGCCGCCTCTCTGTGCTCCCTTTGTATGGAAAGTGAATGTTTATAGTCTCATTTCATCAGTTCACATTAGCCTCATGCTGAATATTTAAACACAGAACAATTTGAACTCACCATGGAGGAAGTCAGTGACTGCACTTTCATTTGGAACAGCAAGGGCTCATCTAATAATAATTTAGTAAATCAGCCATTTAGTGGCTCAGTTGTGCACTGCATTGTGCCAAAGATTATTCAGTTCAACTGTACACTTGCAAAATTGAAATTCAGATTCTAGTCACAAGCACTGTTTTTTTTTTTCTTCTGTTGTTGTTGTTTCATAGGGAGATGAGAC